CAGCCGGTCCACACCGAGACGTGCTGAGTGCAAAACACACTCCGGATCGCCAGGGCTGCATGAGGAGAACGTGGAACGGCTCAGGAATCCATCTTGCACTTCTCGGATATATTGGGCAAAATAAGTTATTTCACCCATTTTCTAAGTGGCTACTAGAAAATTTAAAGTTTCCTAAGTCGTTGGCATCGTGTTTTACGGCACCCTCCTTTATCTTAGGACGCGGGAACAGGGTCGCAGAGCTGAGGTGCCAGCCTCAGTGCAGACCCAGGTCCCGTCTACCACCCAGCGCCCCGGGTCCATGTCCTCACGGCTCCCTCGTCCCACACTCGCGTCTTTGTGCTGTAGCCGGTGCCGACGGGGAGGCGCCTCGGTGCCCGTGGGCGCACAGCTCACAGCGTTGGCAAGGCGATGACCAGGCAGTGACGGCCTGGCACGTGACGGATGGCAGGCAGCGGTCGTGAGCAGCGTGGACCAAGCACAGGGACTTCTGTGTGTCTCCTGGCTCCACCGACAGGTGGACACTCTCCTCGATGGGGGGAGGGGGGGTAAGTCCGATCCAGCTCCTGCTGTCTGTGCAGCGACACTCCATCGCCCGAGCCCCCGCCCCGTCCCCGCTGCATCTGGATCTGAGCCCCGGCTGCACGGTCACCCCCATGCTGCAGTAGCTCCGGAGCAAAATGCTTCACCGCTGCCTGGCGCTGCTATTTGGTATCACCGGCCCGAGGGGTCCGCTGCCTCCCCCGCCAGCCCCGCCGAGGGGCGTCTCTCTGGTACTGGGGCCAGACTCCGTCGGCGCCATCCCTGCCGGGTGCCACCCGGGAAAGTGCCCACGAGACGGAGGCTCCGTCCTGGTCACCCGAGGGTGGGACCCCCATCCACAGGCCACTCTTCCTCCTGAGTTCCTGGGGTTGACTGGACTCCACTAGTGTCTTTGGTTGCCACAGGAGATTGGGACCCTTTCTGAGAGGAGACCTGAATGGACTATTCAGGGGGAAATCAAGTGGCACCCAGTTTCTTCTGAGCCATCACTTTAATTGTATTAAAGATCAATTAAACAACTGGAAAGAATGAGCAAGAAACACCACAAGCTACCAGGAGAGACGGGTTCACTGAAATACGTCAAACTCTATGTCCCAAGATTGGGAGGCTTTGGGACAGTTTCCATGACTGTCAGTAATCTTCAAGTACTCGAGTAACGACAGGTAAAGAACAGAAATCAGGACAGCCAACAAGGAGGCCCCGATCCCCGGCTACGCCTCACTCCCTGTTCTGGACACGCCGCGTGGAGCGTGTCACACCTCCTGTTCAACTCAGGCTGTCCTAGTGTTTGGGCCCATCCCCATGGCAGAAAAACGTGGGGGAGACAGGACTTTTTCCAGGCTGCACAATTAACCTAGTGTTTTTCAGGTCTCTCCTTTCTTTGTTGTTAGATTACTTAATGTTTCACACTATGTTTTAAAAATCCCAGTTTGAAGTTGGAACCATTGTCACCAGTTTAGATTTAGGCCATTTGCACCTGTCTTCTCCATAAAGAATAAAATACAAGCTTTACAAGAGCAGTAAAAAATGAGGCTTAACCCACCAAAGACACGTGGAGATACTGCTGTGGCCCTGCAGACACCCTGCCCACGCTCCCCGGTGGCACCTCCATAAACTCTGCCGACTTCCCCCTGGACCTCAGCTGTGCCCCTGCCCCCTCCCCCTCCTCTTTCCCATCTCCATCAGCAGCCCATCGTCCACTTGGGTCATTCAAGCTGGAAACCCGCTGTGGGGCAAGCCCCAGACGTGCGTGGTCCCCGTCACCCCGCGGACGCCGCCTGCCCTTTTTCCCCACGGCGGACAGAGCCGCCCTCAGGAGGGCGCTGGCTTCCTCCCTCACCTGCTCAGAGCCAGCAAGAAGCTGCCTGTCCACCCCGCGCCCCCTGGCCCCCTTGCACCGCTCTGCCTGGGCTCGGGCGCCCTGGCCTGTTGCTCTGAGGGCAGCAGCCTTGCCTCACTTTCCGCTTCTGCCTGCAACAGTCTTGTCTCCCAAAGGGAGGGCTGTTTTCTCAGTCTACCATCTCCGTGATTTCAACTGGGTCCTTCTAGTAAACCTTCTAAGTGCCCTGGACATCTTCTTTATGCAAATTCATAGTTACTACGTTTATGTAAACGAACCACGTATTTCTGTCGCCCAAGATCTGCTTTGGGATACCTGGGTGACCAGTGACTCACAGGTAGGCACCCGTAAGGCATATTTGTTGAATAAACCGTGCAAGAAATTGGCTTTTATATCCCAGTTTCAAGTCGAATATGTATCCCTGGGGTTACATGACTTCTTTGAATAAACTGCATGAATACAGGCATGAGAACTGGTCACTTTTTGTACCTATTTCCCTTCTGCAAGCCATTCCACCTCAGTTTTGCCAGGGCCAAACGTTACCCTAAATGTGTAACTAAATCCTTGAAATCAGCTTTCCACAGGCAAAGCAGAGAGGAAACCACTGTCCCATGGCCACACTGGAAAGCTGTCCGGTGCTCGCTGACCCAGCGGACAGACCCCTGGCGGGCAGAGTCATTACTGCCATTAAAAGCAACAGAACCGTGGCCCTGGGATGAAACTGAATCAGTATTAACACCGTCTCTTTTAATTAAGTTTTCGTCCTCCCGACTTCAAGCACCTTTTTGGGCCTTAACGTATACTAAAAGTGAACACTTACAGTCCCAACACGTTAACAGCCGGTGCTACGAGGTCTCCTGAGTTTCTACCACCGAGATGCCCCTTCCTTCGGGAAAGTCTTTCCTGAAACCCGACAGCCCCGCTCAGAGGCCACGGTGAAGGTGGACGGGACACGCAGGCGACCACTAGCCCCCGGTGGGCGGGCCCTTGCCCTCAAGCACGTGGCACAGGCATCCGGTTCACACACACGGGCAACGGTGGGACGGTGTAACCGAGCAGCAGCCTCGGTGCCCAGCAGGACAGAGCAGCCGAGGCTCAAGGCGAGTCTGGGACGACCGCAGGCTGGGCACTGGAGCCACGGCCAAGGGGACCTGGACCCTCCGTCCGTCCGTCTGTGCAATCGGGATGGAGAACGTCCTCACGACTGACACGGGACGGGAGTGATGCCCGGTGGACGGATGAGTGGACGGGAAGGGGAGACAGGGGAGGGGGACTGATAGCACAAAGGCAATCTTTTCAGCACTGTCAAAATCATAGCAAATACACTTAAATACATACAAAGTTTATTAAAAATAGGTTGCCAATGAAATACAGTAGAAATGGAAAACTACAGCAGTTCTGATGTCTTCTCCATAGTAATGCACAGTTATGAAAAGCACTTTTACACATATTCACATTTGACCTAATCGTCCAAGGACGGCCAAATCCACGTGTACGGGTTTACAACCACACATACCGATATCCCTGCGTGTAAATATTTACATGTACTTGCATGTACTTAGGTGTATTTGTTGTTTTTCTATATATTAACAGAATAATAGTTCACCTGCATCTTTTTCTTTAAAGAAGGTGTGGATTTAGTCCCCATAAGGCTGCCAGTGCTCTCAAGACGTCTGGGAGGGGCAAGCATGCAAATCCTTCATAAACACTTAGAACCACTGTACTCTCTTACCTAACAAGGGAAATGGTAAAAGCACACTTCCAAATAAGAACCCTGACAGACACAGAAACTATTTACACTCGCATTTTAATGACTTGCCACATAGCTCTCGTGAAAGTGTGCGTATCCTCCTAACACACCTACTGGTAAGAGAACAACATGGTACAGAAAATCATCTAGACCCACAGCAGGGCTTGTCAAATAGAAAATCTGCTCTTAATCACAAGGTAATTTACTGTTTGAACATCACGTAATATTAAACAAAGTGAGGTCCGTTTCCCCAACACCAGCCACGTATTCACAGCCAAAGAAGTGACAGTGGTAACTAATAATTCATGAAAATTAAATAACTATTAGAATGTGTAAAAAAATAGCCTGAACGCCGTACGGACTTCTCTTACAGTATTTAAATTACAGATGCCATATGCAATCGAACCCCTTCCTTTCCCTGACAGCAGATCGATGTAAATCCAGTTCTTTTTCAAATTTTGAATTTCTGAGTTGTGCTCAAGTGTCACCTACTAAGCTCTCATTCTTCTTAGATATTTTTGTTCCTATTCATGTCAACACTGTTCCGTAAAGATGTCCTCTTTTATAGATTCCCTTGGAATATTTCAAACAGTTAACTTTCTAACGTAACTGCCACCTTTAAAACCACCAATGACTTACTGGTATAATAATAATAATCTGATATTTATAAAAATAAAATTTCCTAAGCTTAAATCCTCAAAATTTTCTTCTTGGAGAAACTTGTTTTAATCAAATACTAGAGCTGAGCCGGAGGGCTGTCCCTGTAGGGAGCAGAATGGAGCATCTTACTTGGAGGACGCTCGGGTCTGGGCTGCTTCCCGGCTGCAGGGACAGGAGGACGCCAGCTGTGGACTCCTCAGCACACAAGCGCGTTTCCGCGTGGTCCCTCCTGGAAGGTGAAACCTGACTCTCCCGCAAAACAGACTGCAGGTGCCGCTACACAGTGCAAACGACAGCCTGGGGAGTTCAAGCTACTCTGTCTGATAAGCGAACATAAGGTTTCAGAAAAAGAACAGAAATAGGATGTCTTTGTGCTCTCGGGGGGAGGACGGGGAGGGACGCAGCACCTCGTTACCCTCCACTGCCCTCCATTCTTCCCCCTTCCAGGCCCAGACTCTAGAAGAGAAACGAACAGAAAAAGTTATCTTCGTGGGCGTCAGATAATGAAGAAAGCAGACAGCGTCTGAATTGTAGAAATGACACTCTCTTGGTAAAATAAAATGGAATTTCTTTGCGCTGGAACGCTTCCAAATGCCAACGCTTCTAGAAACAGGAATCACCAGTGGCTTGGGAAGGTGGCCCGCCCGAGCCTCCAGGCAGGCGCAGCCCGGAAGCACAGCGAGAGGCCTGGGCTGGACGCAGGGGCCTTCCTCACTTCGTGTTCAGCTCGTTCTCCAGCTCCGTTAATTTGCGAGAGGCTTTCACTTTATTGGAGACGTCGTGGCCTTGGGAGAAGAGGCGCTGGCGCTCTCTGAACGTCAGGTTTTCAGGGGCTCCAGGACCCCCAGGTACATCCGCGTCTTGGCTGCGTTGGAAGGAAATGCAAAGGGTTACTGTTCAAAATAGAAATAACCCGTCAACGAGTAGCTGAGTTTACATAACGCGCAATTCAGTAAAATTTAGAACAAAGACTCATTCTTTGTTAAATTTTGTCATACTCCTGCCTGTGGGCTGTATTTAAACCCATGTAGAAAAAGGGCAAAATGTTCTTTTACTAAAATGTTACCTTTCTTCAGTCACACCCAACTCTCAAAAAGCTATAGCGACTTCACTTTTAGCAAAAGAAGGTAATACTCAGTAGTTAAGTTTAACTAAAGAGGTATCGTTCCGAAATCCAGCATTTTAATGAATCCCACATGTATCCGAGAGGCATCTATCAACATACTAACTTAATAAAAAGTTATGGTAAGATGCTAAAGATTTTCTGGATTAGTTCAACGTCAATGACTTAAGAACCGTTTGGGCATCAGCCGTTCTGACTAAAACCTAGCTGAGGACGTTCGCTGAAGATTCAGGGGGCGGCCTTTCGCGGTCCAACAGGACACCTGGGCTTTTTGCCCTGGACTTTACGACCTTCTTTGGTGGAAGCAAACAGCAACGTGTCCAGCTGCCTCTAAAGTTCTGACCGGAAAGCCTGGTACCTACGCACCGTCTGAGGCAGAACTATGTTAGCAACACAAGATAAAACAAAGCCTCTGTGCTCACGCAGTTCTGTACAATGAGAAACACCTGAGCTGACAATGAAGTCTGAAATTTCAGCCCAGCCTCATAAACGGTGGTGCAAGAAAAAAGTCCTTGAGGACGAGACACTCGTCCAGCACGAGTTCAGTTCTAGCAAGTTCTAGCAAATACCTTTTAGACAGTTTCTCTCTCGGATCGCGATAAACGTCATGGGCCCCGATCAGTGCTCCAGCAGATCCCACGTAAGAGTTTGGTCCTTTCCCATAAAAGGAAAAGTCAAAGTTAAAGTACTTGCATTATTTCCCAAACTTCACTCATGATGAAGATGCAGTGCTCATGACGCCTTTAAGTCCTGAATAAAGAAGCAGCCAGAGGCTCTTCAAATCAGTAAAAGATCCACCAACTGGAAACTCACATCCCTCGGTGGCCTGAGCAACCCAATGAGGACCCTCACAAGGTGCTAAGTACCTGGCCTGCTGCCTTTTATCATTAGAGAGGAAACCAGCATAAAGTCTTAGGGGGTAACAGCCGAAAAGTTCAAATCAGGTAAAATGTGTAACTATCATGAATTCACACTAAAAATCCACAGAAGACTGACTTAAGTGGGGAGATAGCAAAATTTTTCACACTCCTGACACTAAGAATTTTCTTACAAAATCGCAGAAAGCAAATGTAACCCAAAGATTAAGAAGTAATGCTCCTCTTTTCAGGACAGCTACTGAATTGTTCCCCCACAAAATGGCTATAATTCTTAAAACTTTTGGAAAAAATGAGGTACTAAAACCCCCTAACGTTTGATACTAACGCTGCATATACAAAATCACTGACAAAATAAAAAGGAGACGTGAATCAGCATGGTGTGACTGTCAAGACACCTGGCCTATGGCCCAGCCGGTAACTATGGGCGAGTGACACTGCCCGGCCTGGTACCAGCACCACATGCTCATCTGCTGCAAAGGGCTGCTGAAGATCAAAAGAGATGATGCGGGGTTTCCCTGGTGGCGCAGTGGCTGAGAGTCCGCCTGCCGATGCAGGGGACGCGGGTTCGTGCCCCAGTCCGGGAAGATCCCACGTGCCGCGGAGCGGCTGGGCCCGTGAGCCATGGCCGCTGAGCCTGCGCGTCCGGAGCCTGCGCTCCACAACGGGAGAGGCCACAACAGTGAGAGGCCCGCGTACCGCAAAAAAACAAAACAAAACAAAACAAAAAGACATGATGCACGTAAAAAGCTTTAGATGCATCCGAATGTAAGGTAATAACGCCACTAAGGATGTATGATTAAATCAGTACTAAGGTATTTCTGCTAATTGTTAACATCAGCAAGAGAATTTCACACTTTGAAAAATCTTTCGCATATAACCTAGGGTGGAGGAATCAACGCTCGAAGTACTCAGCAAACACTGACAGTGTTGTGCACCGGATTAAACAGGCCACAAAACTATCACAATATTTCAACACTAAAATTATCCTTTTCAGACAGGTTGCGCAAAAGTGAATGCTTATGTTTCTTTCCTCCTTTTATAAAAGGAGCGTCTGACGTGCAGCCATGTCTGATACGTCCAAGACAGAGCTCAGTCACTTCTGACGGGTCCCTGCACGCATCGCATCTTCCCTCACGAGTTAGCGCAGGCCACCGGATCATGGCCCGGGAACTCACCCTCCGCAAAGACTCAAAAGATTAAAGAGAAACACATCTCTAACGTAAAGTAATCTGTTCGGGGCCTTTAGATAAATTATTCGCAGAGTGGAAAGCTTTCAATTTTAATTCTACATTTTCCCTTCATTTTGCTTTAAAAACGTTGTGTTTTATCTTTTGAACTTTGATTTAAGAATACTTGCTTCTTCCCACTGGTAAAAATCAATTCTTGAAAAATTTCAGAATTTTTAATCAGAATATCTAATAGTTTCAGCTGACTATATATGAAGTAACACTGCACATTCTTTTTTTTTTGGCGGTACACGGGCCTCTCACTGCTGTGGCCTCTTGCGTTGCGGAGCACAGGCTCCGGACGCGCTGGCCCAGTGGCCATGGCTCACGGGCCCAGCCGCCTCGCGGCACGTGGGATCTTCCCGGACCGGGGCACGAACCCGTGTCCCCTGCATCGGCAGGCGGACTCTCAGCCACTGCGCCACCAGGGAAGCCCAACACGACATATTCTTCAAATCTTTTCCAAAGAGCTTTTTTAGTAAAGAACATTTTTTAACACGTTGCTATGCTAAAATTGGACATCATCCATTCCAATCCGTACCCTAACCCTACTCCTCACAGCATCAGGGGAAGAACCGAGCCCAGGCCACAGAGGCTCATGGCAGAGGGGAGAGCTGAACAGGGTGAGACAGTGGGGGAGATGGCGGACGCAAGGCCAGAACGCAGACAACTCTGCACTTTACGAGGAATCTTCAAGAAGCAGGAGCGACCAGACGCAGGGTGTAACCTGCTCCCATGCGGTACTTTTAGTGTGAAATAGAAGGGTTAGTGATGTGACTGAAAGCCCAGATGGTTAGAAGTGACACCGCACTACAATATCCCTCATCAAACCTCCTATTTATCTGTGTCACGACACTCCCAAAACATCTAAGGTTCAGCCTGTAATCTGATGCAAGGAGACCGATGGCATCTTGCTTCAAAATTGCTATTATCACACAGGTCTTTAAAGGTACCACATTCTAGATATTTGCAACAGAAATTTTACAAAAAGATTTAACGTTGGCTTCTAAGTGACTCGACCTAAGGATTACCTACTAAACCTTCCAAGTGAATCAGAGCTCTGACTCAGGTGGTAAGAAAGATCCTAGTAAAACTCGTTTACCTACGAGTCACGGTTACTTGAGTTTGACTATCCAGTTCTTTTAGAACTGCCAGGAGCCCGATGCACGGACTCTGCAGAACCGAGAAGACTCAGTTTGAGCACCTTTACTGCCAGCCTCCCGACGTTTAAAGGGGCCGGGTCAGGCTGAAGAGTCTGAATCTCGATAGCGCACAGCTGTGCTTTCAGTCTAACTTTCAGCGCTGTCTCCAAAGCTGATTGGGAACACGGGCCTGCAGCACCCGTGGGTGTGCTCTGCAGTCCACGGAGGGTCACGGCCAGAGGCAGCCGCACGCCCCCGGGGCCTGGCCAGCAGGGCCGGGACGTGTGAGCATGGGAGGGGCCGGGCTGGCTCGGGCGGGCGTCGCCTCACACCCACCCCGACAGCGCGGCTAAGCCGGCAACACGAAGTTCTGTGTGTGTTAAACAGCTGGAAGTACACAGGGGCCGACGGCACTGGCGACAGCAAGAAATTTAACCGTGGACACCGAGATGCTCGAGCGCGCACCCACTTGTTTGAGGGAGGGGACGCAGGCCGGGACCAACAGCACTTCAAGCGATTAGGGGGACGGAGGAGGGCTGCCGCTGCCGGCTGACTGCGGAAACGGGACGGTTTCCAGTGCGGAGATCACTGCTGGCGCCCTGAGAGGGTCTGCCCCAGAGCAGGAACGCCGGCCTTCCGGCTGCGCTGGAGCAGATCACCAGGCCCAGCCCGGCGATGCAGAGAGAGCCCCGCTCCACGGCGGGCGGCGCGAGCCCAGCGGAGCGGAGGGGCCGCCGGACAGACGGCAGAAGCTCGGCTTGGTGGCAGGGGCGGCGGGTGGGCTGGAGAGGAAGATGCCACCGCAGGCCAGTGCCGCAGCCGGGGGAGGGCCTGGCGCAGGAGGTGCATCCTGACCTGCCGGGCCGCCGTCCTCGTCGTCGTCGTCCTCCTCGGCGTAAGCCACGAGCTTGGCGGTGTACAAGGCGTCGGGGGAGAGCACCTGCGCCTGCAGGTAGGAGGCGGTGCGCTGGGGCGGCGGCGGGGGCGCGGGGGCCGGGGGCTCGTAGCCCCGCGGGAGCGGAGGGCGGCCCAGGCCCAGCTCCTCGGGCTCCAGCAGCTGGCGCTCGGCCTCGTCGTGCTGTCGGCGCCGCTCGGCCTCCAAGCGGCTGTAATACCCCTCCTCCTGTCGCCTCTGTGGCGGGGGACAGAAGCGCGAGGTCAGCGGGCAGGAAGGGACGGGCCTGCCCCGGGTCCCCCAGCACCACAGCGGATGGACCCGGACACCGTCTTCCCTTGGGACTCGACACCAGACCGCGTGGGGACGGGGGAGGGAGGAATGAAGGAGCTGTCAGGGCCCCAGCCCCAGGTACCACGTGGCTGTCCCATCCCCAACCGCTTCTCTCTCTCTCCTTCTGTTGCCGGTAGGACAGTAACTTACCTGTTACTCCTGAGTTTAAAGACAAAAGCACACCAAAACTAGGCTGCAACTGCCTTTCTACAGCTGGCACTTCCCAAAGTGCAGCCCTGCGTGCTTTTCCACCGAACCCCGGTAAACTCAGAAGAGCGGACCTTCCTTGACAAGAAGGACGTGATTACGTCACCTGGCTGACTTCTAGGTATGCAGAGGGAAGCGACTAGGAAACCCCGAACTGTAAAAAAACATTACTCATCTTTCCAAGGTCACAACCAATACGCTTTCCACGGTTCTTAATTGGTATTTCAAATCTTAATAAACTCCCTGCCAGACAGAAAATTGAGAGAGCCAGGCAACAAGATATTCAAATATATTTTGACACAGACTGTACATTTTTTCTGACATACATCTGCACGAACTACAGTTGACAGTGTTAATTTAACATTGAAAACAGTAACAGCACAGTTTTGTTAAAGATTGACAGGCGTTTCAGAACACAGGAAAAAAGTGAAGAAGAAAGGAGATGAAAGATCAGACAGAATAACCTGCCTTAACTTGAGGAACGTTCAGTGTACAACGTGCAACGTACAGAACGGAAGGACAGTGGCCTTTAAATTCATTCAACGGAAGGCGACTAATTTAGGGGCCTTGCTGGCATTAGGATTAAAGCTTTTAGTCCCCATTTCACTTTGCACACTGTGTCTTCTCCCTACTCCCTCCACACACACACACACACACACACACACACGCACACAGTGGGCAAAACTTCACCTTCTGAGGGAGAAAACGCTAAGAACAAATGCCAGCCTCAATCCTGGCCCTGGGCCCCATTTCTCACTTTATCTTCTTACACTGTGTTGAGACACCCTGAAGGAAAAACATTTTTACCTTATTTTCTACACAAAATGAGCGTTCTCTTAAGAGTGTGGAATTAAACCTGGAACGACCTCTGCAGAGTTTAAGTGGAGTTGTGAGGAATCTTAGTATTATGTGAACAAAGCTCACTTGGTCACATTTTAGGGAAACCAAAACATGTTCTTTCAGTTACACTAAGAGCAGGTATACAGTCATATGAACCGAGAAGACTGCATTCTACCCAAAAAGTGAACGGCACATTTTCCTATGACGGAGCAAACCCATCAATTTTGGACATTCTATATAAAAAATAGGTTATTCGGCTTCTTTTTACACTGAGTGCTCAATCATAGAAGCAGTTACCCACACACAGGTGCATCTGACATAATCACGACTTGTGAGAACGCACACTGGAAAAAAGTCAAATAACCCAGGAGTTTCCCAACGTGGAGAACACGGCCTGGCCGCCTCCCTGCGGGCACTACTCCCAGGTGGCCGAGGGCTCAGGCAGAGGTGGGACAGACAGCTGAGGGGCCCGGCCAGGAAAACACACCCTGCGAGCAGCCCTGGGACAGCAGCACGACAGACACTGTTAAAACCCGGGTCTAGTGGCTCAAAGTGTGGAAACCCCATTTCCTTAGACGCATTACTGACTTTGACAAGCTCGAGGGGAGCCTCACCACGAAACCCCAGACTCTGGAAACAGCGCACAAGCTCTTCAGGCACAGCCGACAGCACGATGACAGCAATGGCAAAGGCCAACAGACTGTAGACACGGCTCGTTTCGGTGCAGGTGTGCCCACGTCATCTACCTGGCTCGCACTTAACCAAGTCATCCGTCATTTCCACTCTTACTCTCTGCCTGTCGCGCCCCCACAGACCCCATCACTACCAGAGCCCCCCAAGCTTCCTCCTGCAGGGTGCGCTGTGAGGGTGCTCGCTGGACTTTCCCCACCAGAAGCCGTGACCTCAGAGCTCCCGCCTTCACAGAAGGGAAGTAACGGAAGGCCAGCTTCTCCCACACCTCGTCCAGGGACCAGCCGGCCCTGGAGAGACCCGGAGGCGAGCCCAGAGCCGCGGCGACACGCCCACAGACGGCAGGGCCTGGAGGGCAGCGTCACCAAGTGCCCATTTCTCAGGGGAGCTCAAGTGTGCTGTCATGTTAAAAGCAATTAAAAGGATTACCTGAATCTCAGAAACCCACATATGGAAACAAAGCAATAACTCAGGATATCTACCAGATTACACACTAAATTAAATTTCCTTGTATCGTGTTTTCTATAAGCCATTTGCTCTCTTCACCCCTGACCAGAATTAAGTCACGAAGTAACCGATTTGAAACCCTTAAGGTTAACAGAGTGACTTCCTAGTTTCCTGTCCTTCCCACGGCCCGACCTCCCTGTGAACAACTGGACACTTGTCACCTTCACAGTGACAAGCTCGACCCCGTCCAGCAAAGACCAGAGGCCCGAGCACACAGAGGCCCCACAGTCCACAAGCTTGAGCGACAAGACTCGGAGAAGAGGGGGAGGGGGAGATCCCGGG